GGCCAGTGTGCCTGCTCCTGACCACTGCAATCCCAGCGCCCAAGGAAGGCCACTTCTCAACTGGCAGAACTTCTGGAGTTTAGAATTGGAATTACTTCCTTACTAGTGTCTTTTGGCTTAAATTTTGTCTTTTGAAGTTGAATGCTTAATCCCGGGAAAGACGAAGGTCTTTCCGGTTTAGAAAAGGCTCTGTACCAAGGAGGGACCACAGGAGCTGGGACCTGCCTGCCCCTGTCTTTTCCCCTTGGTTTTGTGTTACAAGAGTTGTTGGAGACAGTTTCAGATGATTATTTAATTTGTAAATATTGTACAAATTTTAATAGCTTAAATTGTATATACAGCCAAATAAAAACTTGCATTAACAGTTGGTGGGGTTTGTCTCATGGAATCAATAAAATCAGTGTCGGGCTCCTTGCTGTGGCTGTACACTTGAGAATGGAATGGAATGGAATCTCCAGGAGTTAGGGTTTCCATGGAAGCCAGCACTATCCTTGGGGACACCATTGACCATTAACAGATTAGGAAGATGTGCCCATTTTACACATGGAAAAGCAGCCCAGAGTTCAGTGCCCTGCCTCAGGGCAGAGACCAAGTTGGGGATCCAGGAACTGGGAGCTGTCTTAGCCAGTTTGGGGGTAGGGTGGGGTCTCAGGCCTTTGGCCCCTGTGACTCCAATGAAGGCTAGTGAGCTGGGGTTGGGATGGGATGACAGGGTGAAAGGTCAGCGTATTCCTGCCTGCAAACCCCTCCCCAGCCTTGATTCCAGGTCAGCAGGCTGGGGAGGATGGCCCTATGCTGGCTGTGAGGAGTTCCAGCCACTCCCTTGTGGTCAGGCCAGCAAGTCTGGTCTGCAATGGAACAGTGACCAAGAATGGGCCTCCTACCTCTCTAGGAGAAAGAGCCCAGGGCTAACGTGGGCACTGTACTTCGAACAGAAGATCTCCAAGCCCCATGCCCGAGTCATCTGTGTTCATAGCCTGTACCAAACAAGATCTGGCCTAGAGCAAGGGCTTGGGGATGTTTGCAACAATGAGCTTTGGAGGGCCAAGGGAACAAAGTGCCCAGTGGCTCTGCCCTGTGCTACCTTCCCCTAAACTAGGTTGGGCTACTGCTTCCACCAAATGACAACTAGAATTTGAATTGCTGAGCCCAAGGAAAGGAAAACAAAACAGGCCAAGGTGGGCAGGGCACATGGCTCACGCCTATAATCCCAGCACTTTGGGAGGCCGAGGTGGGCGAATCACTTGGAGTCAGGAGTTTGAGACCAGCCTGGCCAACATGGTGAAACCTCATCTTTACTAAAAGTACAAAAATTAGCAGGTTGTGGTGGCGGGTGCCTGTAATCCCAGCTACTCAGGAGGCTGAGGCAGAACTGCTTGAACCCAGAGGTGGAAGTTGGAACCCAGTGAACCAAGATCATGCCACTGCACTCCATCCTGGGCAACAGAGTGAGACTCCATCTCAAAAAACAAAAAACAACAGGCCAAGACAGGAGGGAGAGAAAGCTGCTGACACCCCCCATTAGCCTGGTTATTCCTATTTGGTCTCCCACATTAGGCACTCTCCCCCAGCATGTACATAGGGTTCGGTTTTCTCCTTTATGCAAGCAAGGCCTGACCCCAAAGTCCTTTAGCCTTAGTTTCTGTATCCCCTGTCTCAGGGGCTCCAACACCCACCTCCCTCCTCCTGAGGCCCCCTAGACTTGATCCGCAGGGCAGGCTGACATGCAGGCTGCTCAGCTAGGCCTCAGAAGCCTTTCTCCAAGAGCCAGGCTTTAAGCTCCTGGTCAAAGTAGCCCTTGATTCGCAGGGTACCTGTCACCTCATTGACCTGGGTGACGGGTGTCTTCCCCAGCAGTGGGCTCAGAAAATCTTCCACATCTTTCTGCAGGGCCTAGGGAAAGATGACAAATCAGGTCAGGCCAAGAGTCCCTTCCCTTGAAAGGACTCCTGTCCCTCCAGCCCTGAAAGGGTCAGGCCCAGCCCCAGACCCACCCACCTACTTACCCAGATGTCCCCTTCTACTTTCCGGATCACAGTCATCTGCCGGTTGCCATGCGTCATGTCCTTGTAGACAGGGACATTGTGCATCCGAGAGCGTCGTACAAAGTAGGGCAGGTTGGGTGGGGGGTCTGCGACAAGGAAAGACACTGTTAAATCAACTCTTCCTAGGTGCCATCCCACCTCAGCCAAGGTCCTTGCTCTCAGTCTGCAGAGGGCAAATGCACCCAGCTGGACCAAGCCACCTCCAGACTTTAGGTCAGGGGGTCTCCTCTTTCCTTCAGCTTGGAGTCAGGACCAAATTGTTCACCCTGGTACCCTAAGGCCCCACACAAGGCCTGTCACTAAGTAGGTACTCAAGAAAACATGAAGTCAGGGACATGCCTCCCTGGATCTTTGGGTCCCCCTCTAGGCCAATCCTTGCCCTCCTCCACTGGGTCAGGGAGGCTGAAAGCAATCTCTGGAATAAAGAGATCGGGATTTACAAGCACTGAGCACCTACCATATGCTGGGCTCTGCACTAAGGGCTCTAGGTACTGAGCAGATCATCTCCATTTTGCTAAAACAGGTTGGGTCAAGCTAAGTGACTAATTCAAGATAATATCAACAGTAAATAAAGCCAAATTCAAACCCAGAACTGCCTGACTCCACGCTGTGTTCTTAATTATAGACATAGTCTCCTGGGGGGAAAGAAGGTCCAAGCTCTTGGGTTTTCTCTCTGTTGTTTACTTTCCCCCATATGGGGAAGACCCAATCCCAATAGTGTGGATGGATGAGTACCAGTGAACAACAGAGGACTCCATTCCTGGGCTCTTCCTCAGGCATGAGACAGATGTAACCCACAGGGATCGCAAAACAAGTCCTGAACCCACTGAAGAGTCCAGAGCCTCATGGGGGAGGCCAACCTCTGGGGAAGAGGTGATGCTCCGTGAAGTTTTCAAATCATCCCTAACCACCCAGCTCACCTCTGGGAGGCTGCCAGCCACTAGGGGTAGGATAATGTTCATGTTTTGGGGGATCTGGGATCCTCGTAGCTGGTAACAGGCGCTCCACAAACTGATATTCATCCACAGACTCCACAAAGCTGGGGTAATCTGGAGGGCCCTGGGTCCGGCTCTGAAGCAAAACAAAAATTCCATTTCTCCATTAGCCTACACAACACAGGATGGCATAAGTTCAGTAAGTAGAGAATGGAAACATTACAGGCAGAGAGAATGGCATAAATAAAAGGCTGGGCGATCGGTGTGAAAGCTATCAGAATCAAAATGGAGTGAGTCACTTGGGTTAAAAATCCCAACAAACAAAGCTAGGGAGGGCCATGAAGAGAGAGTTCTTGGCCGGGCGCGGTGGCTCACGCCTGTAATCCCAGCTCTCAGGGAGGCAGAGGTGGGAGGATAGCTTCAGCCCAGGAGTTCGAGACCTGCCTGGGTAATATAGCGAGACCCCGTTCTCCACAAAAAGGAAAAAAAAAAAAAGAAAAAAAAAAAAAAAGTTCTTGTGCACAAATACTTAATAATAAGAACTATCACAAAAGACCGCAAAAACCACAGACTTGCACAAAGGCCATTGCAACCTTACACAAAAAAGTATTTCTGGTTGGGCACGGTGGCTCACGTCTGTAATCCCAGCACTTTGGGAGGCCGAGGCAGGTGGATCACCTGAAGTCAGGAGTTCAACACCAGCCTGGCCAACATGGCGAAACCCCATCTCTACTAAAAATACAAAAATTAGCCAGGTATGGTAGTGCATGCCTGTAATCCCAGCTACTTGGGAGGCTGAGGCAGAAGAACTGCTTGAACACAGGGGGCAGCAGTTGCAGTGAACTGGTATCATGCTACTGCACTGCAGCCTGGGTGACAGAGCGACAAGACTCTCTCAAAAAAACAAAAATAAACAAACAAAAATTTCTGCAAGGCCATCCGTCCAACAACTGCCTGTCCAATCTTGAACTGGCACCACCCTTGTTATTCATCCTTGTAGCCAAGGATAACTATCTCAATACAATTACGTAATACTCTTTTTTCCTTTCCTTTGATTTATTTATTTATTTATTTTTTTGGGACGGAGTCTCACTCTGTCACCTAGGCTGGAGTGCAGTGGCGTGATCTCGGCTCACTGCAACCTCCGCCTCCCAAGTTCAAGTTAAGTCTCCTGCCTCAGCCTCCCAAGTAGCTGAGACTACAGGCACACGCCATCACACCCGGCTAATTTTTGTATTTTTTGTAGAGACGGGTTTCACCATGTTGGCCAGGCTAGTCTCAAACTCCTGACTCCAGGTGATCTACCCGCCTTGGCCTCCCAAAGTGCTGGGATTACAGGCGTGAGCCACCGTGCCTGGCCCATTTTTCCGTTAAAAACCTTTGTCTTCTTTTACCTCCCTGATAAGCACATAGTATACACCCATTTCCGAATAAATATCATTTTCTTTTAGAGTCCGTTATTTAAGTTGACATAAGATAGCACCAGTCTTTGGTTTTCCACGGTGCAGGGTACAGATGGGATGGAAAGGAGGCTCAGATACTCTGAATGGTCTACCTCTCTTAGGATTTCGGTGGGATTCAAAAGAGTATGTGTAGACTTCTGAAAAGTCAATCAAGTCTTTAGAAACTTAAGGCTTAACTTTCTGCCTCGGTTTTAGGAATAGATATTATTATTACATTGGCAGCGTAACCTTGTTTGTACCTTCATGATTGCCTGGCTGGCCTTGCTCACCTAATCACATCTGTGATTGGATATAGTGGTGTTTAATCTTATGATTGCCTTAACAATTAAGGCAATCAGCCGGGCGCGGTGGCTCACGCCTGTAATCCCAGCACTTTGGGAGGCCGAGGCGGGCGGATCGCGAGGTCAGGAGATCGAGACCATCCTGCTTAACACGGTGAAACCCATCTCTACTAAAAATATAAAAAAATTAGCCTGGCGTGGTGGCGGGCGCCTGTAGTCCCAGCTACTCAGGAGGTTGAGGCAGGAGGATGGCGTGAACCCGGGAGGCGGAGCTGGCAGTAAGCCGAGATCGCGCCACTGCACTCCAGCCTGCGCAACAGAACGAGACTCTGTCTCAAAAAAAAAAAAGGAAAAAAAGAATTAAGGCAATCATAATTCCCTATGCACACTCATGCTAGGATCCCGCCCCTTATCTGAAACGTTATGGCTTACATAGACACTGCCAGGCACTGTGTTAAGTGCTCCCAAAGAGCACCGCAGTCTACCACTTTCCCTCTCGTTTCTGTATTTACACTCGATCGGGAGACAAGCTCTTCCGATCGAAAACGGCAAAACTAAGGCCCCAAGTAGGAATGCCTTAGTTTTCGGGGTTAACAATGAGTAACACTGAGCCTCACACCCACGCGATGCCCTCAGCTCCTCGCTCAGCGCTCTCACCAACAGCCGTAGCCCGCAGCCCCGCTGAACACCGGTTCTCCATCCCCGAAGCGCAGCCCGGAACATGGTAACGGCCATCTTGACCTCGTACGCCAGCCGTCAGTGCACGCAACCGTCTGGTTCCGCCCCCTCCTGCGCGCGCTGCCTGCCCCTGGCAGGCTCGCCTGTGCGAGCGTAAAGGGGCGGAGCTAGGGTCGCCCTGGGCGGTACAAATATCAGAGACCCGCGCGGTGGCTCAGTAGTGACGTGATACGCAGCTCGCGTCTGTACAGACGCGCCCTCGCTTCTTCCTCTTTCTCGACTCCATCTTCGCGGTAGCGGCAGCTGGGACCGCGGTTCAGGTAAGAATAGGGCCTTGGCTGGATCCGAAGGACTTGTAGCAGGTTGGCTGCGGGATCAGAGGGCGCGGGGGAAACTGAAGAACCAGGCCGGCTCTGTGGCCCTGCTCCAGTCCCTATCCGAATTCTTCGGGAGGCCTGGCCTTCCCCACGTGAGCCGCCGCGACCACCTCCATCCCATCGCTATCGTTTCTGGACCACTTTCCATTCCCAAACCTCCTTTATCCCAGAGCATTTCTTCGCTTCTCTTACAAGTCGTCTTTCTTTACTCAGTCGTCAACATGCAGCTCTTTGTCCGCGCCCAGGAGCTACACACCCTCGAGGTGACCGGCCAGGAAACGGTCGCCCAGATCAAGGTAAGGCTGCTTGGTGCGCCCTGGGTTCCATTTTCTTGTGCTCTTCACCCTCGCGGCCCGAGGGAACACTTACGAGCCTTATCTTTCCCTGTAGGCTCATGTAGCTTCACTGGAGGGCATTGCCCCGGAAGATCAAGTCGTGCTCCTGGCAGGCACCCCCTTGGAGGATGAGGCCACTCTGGGCCAGTGCGGGGTGGAGGCCCTGACTACCCTGGAAGTAGCAGGCCGCATGCTTGGAGGTGAGTGAGAGAAGAATGTTCTTTGAACTACCGGTAAGCGTCTAGTGGGTGGGGGGTGCATAGTCCTGGCAGCTGAGTGTCACACCTATGGTAGTAAGAGTACTTCTCACTGCGCTCAGTTCAGAGTGATTCTTCCTGTTTACATCCCTCATGTTGAACACAGACGTCCATGGGAGACTGAGCCAGAGTGTAGTTGTGTTTCAGTCACATCACGAGATCCGAGTCTGGTTATCAGCTTCCCCACTAAAATTAGGTCAGACCGGGGCCCCCAAAGTGCTCTAGAAAGTTAGAAGCTGGAAAATCCTGAAATGAAACTTAAGATTTCAAGGTCAGATATCTGCAGCTTTGTTCTCATTACCTGTTGGGCCCAGCTTCTCTTTAAAGGCTTGAATTGAGGAAAGAGGGGTTCTGCCGGGTGGCACCTTCTTGCTCTTACCTGCTGGTTCCTTCCTTTCCCATTACAGGTAAAGTCCATGGTTCCCTGGCCCGTGCTGGGAAAGTGAGAGGTCAGACTCCTAAGGTGAGTGAGAGTATTAGTGGTCATGGTGTTTGGACTTTGTCTTTTCCTGTCACAGCTAAATTAAGTCCCTGGGTTCTTACCCGGTTTGCCTTCTCCCTCCCTGGAGATGAGCCTGAGGGAAAGGATGCTAGATGTGGAAGACAGAAACCAGGGCCTGATTAACCCTCCCTTCTTCAGGTGGCCAAACAGGAGAAGAAGAAGAAGAAGACCGGTCGGGCTAAGCGCCGGATGCAGTACAACCGGCGCTTTGTCAACGTTGTGCCCACCTTTGGCAAGAAGAAGGGCCCCAATGCCAATTCTTAAGTCCTTTGTAATTCCGGCTTTCTATAATAAAAAAGCCACTTAGTTCAGTCATCGCATTGCTTCATCTTTATTTGCAAGGCCTCGGGGAGAGGTTGGTGCTGTGTCCCCTGTAAGAACAGTGAGGCAGAAAAGCCCTTGGTGTAGGGGAAGACATGGTAAACTGCAAGAGGAATCTTCTGTGAAGAAACAGTAGCCACAGATCCTGGGGCTTCAGGTGTAGAATTGGAGTTATTCCCTATCCTAAGTAACTTGATCAGTCCCCTCAAGTCATTCTTTCTCATCTTCTAAACAGAGAAGGTAGCAGGAATCGTTGTGGTGAGACGTTTGTTATGGAGGCAGCAATGGAAGGGATGGGTGGGGGAAGAGGTTTGTATAGAAGGTGAACCTGGTCATTCCCTGAACTTGGTACCAGCTGTGGCCTTAGAGTCCAGGGCAGGAATCTGGTCTGCCTCGGTTTTAGAAATAAGTATTACGTTGGGTGCATGGTCTCGTTTGTACCTCTATGATTGCCTGGCTAGACTTGGTAACCTAATCACATCTGTGATTGGATATAGTGATGTTTCGGTGTTCCCAAAAGTTGGGTTATCTCTGGGGCTGATTCAGGGTTGCCTTCTAGCAACTGAGCCTCCCAGCACTTCTGAACCCCACTTACTCATTCAACTAAAGTTTCGGGACCTGCCAGTTCTTGGGAAATAGCATGCAACAGGGTAAAACCCTTGGGCTGTGGACTTTGAATGCCTGAGTTTGGACCTTCTTTTTTTTCCTAATCCATTTACTGGGTGGCTGGCCTTTGAACTAACTACTAATTTAATCTCTGCCATCTCCAGAGCTGCTGTGAGGGTTAAAGGATGTAGTGTGTGAATCTTGGCTATTTTCGTCTCGTGGTGTTAAAGACATGCTTTCTGCTTTCTAGCAGTTTAGAAAGGGGGAGGATGTGGACAGATACAATAGCATCCCAGAGAGGGCCTCTTTTTTGTTTTTCTTTTTTCTTTATCTTTTATTGAGACGGAGTCTCCAACCTCCTGGGTTCGCACCATTCTTCTGCCTCAGCCCCCAGAGTAGCTGGGACTACAGGCATGTGCCACCACGCCTAGCTAATTTTTTGTATTTTTAGTAGAGATGGGTTTTCCCTATGTTGGCCGGGATGGTCTCTATCTCTTGACATTGTGATCACCCGCCTTGGCCTCCCAAAGTGCTGGGATTACAGGTGTGAGCCACAGCACCCAGCCTTTTTTCTTTTTGAGTCAAGGTCTCTCATCCATGCTGGAGTGCAGTCGCATAGTCATGGCTCACTGCAGCCTCCAAGTCCTGGGCCCAGGTGATCCTACTCAGCCTCCCAAGTAGCTGAGGACTGCAGGCATGCACCACCACTCCTGGCTAAGTTTTTGTACTTCTTGCAGAGACGGGGTTTTGTTGCTGTGTTGCCCAGGCTGGTCTTGAACTGGGCTCAAGTGAACCGCCCACCTTGGCCTCCCAAAGTGCTGAGAGTACAGGCGTCAGCCACTGTGCCCAACTGAGAGGTCATGTTTAAATGACATGTGTGAGACCTGAGATGAATAAATCAAGTGATCAGGTAGGGGAATATTTTAAGCCAAGAGGACTGTATGAAGATGGGGAAGAGGTGATGTCTAGGGGTGGGAGCAGATCCTGCAAGGCCTTGTCAGCCATGGAGAGAAGTTTGGGTTTGAGTCCAAGTGCAATGGAGGGTCGCAGAAGGGTTTTGAGTAAGAGAAGGATCTGATCTGACTTGTGATCTAATTTATCTGGCAGGTTTTTCTGGAGGGCTGGCGAGAAAGGAAAAACACAATGTGTTGTCATCCACGTGAGGGGTCAGGAAGCTTAGACCACCAGTAGTAGTAGTAGGGATGCAAAGAACACTCACAGTTTGGTTCATCACACCTCCACTCCACCACAAGACTGAGCTCTGTTAGAACAGGGACCCCCGACTCCCTTTGATGTGCATTGTGTTCTTGGCACCTAGAATGGGGCCTGCACTTAATGAGATGGATGAATAGTGGTATTTAATAAGAAGATACTTAATGAAGAGTCAGTTTTGGAGGAAAAATAGGAGCTCAAATATTTCTTAAATACTGCTTTTTATTTGTTTTTCTGAGGTGGAGTTCCTCTCCGTGGCCCAGGCTCCCAGGCTGGAGGGCGGTGGCGCGATCTCAGCTCACTGCAACCTCCACCTCCTGGGTTCAAATGATTCTCCTGCCTCAGCCTCCGGAGTAGCTGGGACTACAGGCACCCGTCCCCCACGCCCGGCTAATTTTGTATTAGTAGAGATGGGGTTTCTCCATGTTGGTCAGGCCGTGGTCAAACTCCTGACCTCAGGTCATCTGCCCGCCTTGGCCTCCCAAAGTGCTGGGATTATCGGCGTGAGAGCCACCGCACCCGATCCCGACTGCCCTTTTATTCGTCTGTGTCCCCTAGTGCATTTTATTTGTCTGTGTACAGCGCAGGGATGCATCGCCTTTCTGAGGCTTGGCACAATTAGTGGCCCAGGGTAGGTGCTTAGTAAAGGTGGATTTCTGCCACAGCGCATTATAGTGCTAAAGAGAGAGGGTTTTCTCTTTAGATGATCGGGCCACGTTTTGGTGTGACCGCTAGGGGGAGAGGTGGCACCGGCGGAGCGCTCGCCAGACCCATTTTTCCGCTCCTTGCGTCATCGCACAGGGCGGGGTTCGTACTTGACGTCCGGCGTCTGGGCCTGCTCTCACCCTACTAGGGAAAGGGGTGGGGCTCGGCTTTCGGGCGTGGGCGGAAATTGCTCAGAATCCTCGGGAGCGTTGCGAAACGACAGACCGTCGTCGACCCCGCGGTGAGCCGGAAGTAATTGAATAAGCCCCGGAAGTTTGGAACTATCGCCGGCGTGGGTTCGCAGGTAGATCGCGGTGCCAGTTGCTATGGAACCGGTCGGGCCTTGTGGTTTCTGCCCGGCGGGGGAGGCCCAGCCCGCGCGTTACACCTGCCCTCGCTGTAATGCGCCCTATTGCTCGCTGCGCTGCTACCGGACGCATGGCACCTGCGCAGAAAACTTCTACCGTGACCAGGTGCTGGGAGAGCTCCGCGGCCGCAGCGCCTCGCCCAGCCGCCTGGCAAGCGCCCTACGCCGGCTGCGTCAGCAACGCGATACCGAGGACGAGCCTGGGGAAACAGGCCTTAGCCCCGGCCCAGCGCCCGGCGGCCTCTCGGGACTGTGGGAGCGGCTGGCGCCGGCCGAAAAAACTGCCTTCGAGCGGCTGCTGAGCCGTGGTGAGGCCGGGCGGCTGCTGCCTCCATGGCGGCCGTGGTGGTGGAAGCGCGGAGCCGGACCGCGGCGGCTTCTGGAGGAGCTGGATGATGTCCCGGGCAGTGATGCCGCGGGGCTGGAGCCCGCCCTTGCGAGGACCCCGCCGGAATCTATGAAAGATGCCTTCGCCGCGGAGCTCGCGGCTGCCGAGCTGGTTCTTGGAGATGTCCCGGGGGCCTGCACGCCCGCCATACCCACCCGCATCCCCACGCTGGTCAGCCTGAGCCGCGGCCCAGTCTCACCGCTCGTGCGCTTCCAGCTGCCCAATGTGCTGTTCGCCTACGCGCATACTCTCGCCCTGTATCACGGCGGTGACGACGCACTGCTCTCTGACTTCTGTGCTACACTGCTCGGCGTTTCCGGAGCCCTGGGTGCCCAGCAAGTCTTCGCCTCTGCGGAAGAAGCCCTGCAGGCCGCAGCCCACGTGCTGGAAGCAGGCGAACACCCGCCTGGGCCCCTGGGCACACGAGGGGCTATGCACGAGGTCGCTCGCATCCTGCTGGGTGAGGGCCCGACCAACCAGAAAGGCTACACGCTGGCAGCACTGGGAGACCTGGCAAAGACCCTGGGCCGTGCCCGGAAACAGGCTGTGCTTAGAGAAGAGCGAGATCATCTTTACCGGGCCCGGAAAAAGTGCCAATTCCTCCTGGCCTGGACCAATGAAAATGAGGCTGCCCTCACACCCCTGGCTCTAGATTGCGCCAGGGCTCACCAAGCCCATGCTGTGGCAGCCGAGGAGGTGGCCGCCCTCACTGGGGAGCTGGAGCGGCTTTGGGGAGGCCCCGTGCCACCTGCCCCAAGGACTCTCATTGAGGAGCTCCCTGGCTGAACTGGGGACCCTGGTCGTTAATAAAGCTGTGACTGGTCAGCCCTGTTGCCTGTTTCTGAAGGATAGCTATTGTCCTACCAGGCCCCCAGAGTCCTGGGCCCACAAGCCACTGCTCAGCTTCTCCCTGATCAGTGCTGACCCAGCCAGTCCTAGGGGAGAGAAGTGCACCAAGGGTTCCCAATGTTTATCCAAAGGAGGAAGAGCATCTCCGATTTTGGTCACTGGTTTCATTTTTTTCCTTGCTCTAAACCACCTCTTCTCTGAGGCTGTTCATCCTCAGGGCTGGGTGGGGTACAAGCCCTTGAGTCCCAAGTGCGTCCAGGCTCCTGGTCCTGGGTGTGCTGGTGGATGAGTGGGCATATGCCCCCACCTGGGGTGGTGGAGCCGCTTCAGTAGATGTAGGGCACGATGCGGTAAGGCACACGCCGGCAGTACTCCTGCCAGGCCAGGCCATACTTCTGCAGGCACTGTCGCTCATCCCGGGCCTCACGGTGCACCAGCAGCGCGGTGAAGTAGAGGAGGTAGAAGTAGGGCAGCAGGTGTGACACCCCTGTAGAGAAGGAGGCTCTGTGACCACCCTGCCAGCCCCCTCCACCCCCCAGTTTGCAAACATTTCCACACCTAATGGCTCATGTGGGCATCAGGGCTCAGCAGCAAAAGCTCCAGGGTCTGCATCTAGGCATACCGTACTAGGTTGGCACAGAGGTGTGCCCCAGCCACACACTGGGTCCATCCCAGCTCTCTGACTGCTTTCACTGGTGCATACCCAAAGTAGGCATCCTGTGGTCGCTGAGCCACCCCTTCCCCTCATATGTTCCTGCCCCTATCCACATGGGCCACTCACCGCAGGGCAGGGACCAAGCCAGAGCCATGATGAGGTCTCCAAGGTAGTTGGGATGGCGGACCATACCCCACCACCCAGACACCAGCAGTTTCCGCCCTGTGGCTGTAGAGATGGTCTCAAGCCCTGGAGAAAGATGGCAGGTGGGGAGTTCCCAGGAAGCCCAGCGGCCCCACCTCACCCATGGCCCTAGAGACCCAGCTCACCAGCCACTCTGGGGTCAGAAGGATTCTTTCGGAAAGTGTTTTTCTGGGAATTCGCCCCACGGAAGATGTAGTAACCAATAGCTGGTGAGAGAGTTGAAAAAGTGGTCAGGGTCAAGGGTTGCAGCCTCCTGCCTGACCCTGACCATCTGCCCAACCTGTCTGCAGCCCAGACTCTGCCTGGACACCCAGGACCCCACCCCTGGCTTTAGAGAGGACCCTGGCAGTTAGCACCTATGTGGTGTGCATGTAAACAGAGCATGAATGAAAAGGAGAGGGGAAAGATGGGCCCAGCCTGCTGCCCCTTCCTGACTGACCATTGATGAGGCAGATGGCGGAAGCCATGGGCAACCCCAGGGGCTGCGGGTGGCGCAGCAGGAACTGGGCTTGCAGGCTGTAGGTGAAGGGCACCCAGGCTATGTCCCCAAATGCCAGCATGAAGCCAAACCCGTCATGTGTGATATCCATGGTGGTGAGGATGGCCTCCTGCAAGGACAAGACCCAGACACACTGGCTTAGTCCCCCATACGGCCGTCAGACACCCACCCTTGTCCAGTCCAGCCTCACCTCATGCCAGAGGGCATCACCCACATAGAGTAACTGGAAGCCATTAACCAGCCACATGGCCAGTGAGGGACTGCCCCGAAGTTCTGCCTCCTTCACCAACAGGGCCAGGTTGATGAGGACCTGGGGGAGGGAGAACAGGGCAATCGTCTCCACAGAGGTGGCAGCCCTGGGCAGAGCAGTGGCTAACCTCTGCCCTTCTCAGCTGTCAGTTACACTCCAACCCTTTGTTAAGTGGATCCAGGCCTTGGACCCAAGGACAGAGACTGTAGACAGGGAGGTGTCCGCAGCTTGTTTCTTCTTGCCTTGAGTGTCCTAAGGTCTTGCAGAGAGCAGCCCTGGGAGCAGTTGGGGGCTGAGGCTTCAGAGCTCAAACAGACCTGGTTTCAAATCTCAGCATCACCTGGGCAGGTTGCTTGCCCTCTCCATAGCCTACTTTCCCCACCCCTGTGTGAAAAATGGGAATAATCATGGGCCTGTCATGACTCAATGGCATCATCGTGTTTGAAGTCCTCCACAGCGTCCCTAGCAAGTGGTACGTGCTCAGTGGTGGCTAGCCAGAGCAACCCTGTGCTGGGTGCGTGCATTTTACACTGAGCTCTGTTCTGTCATACAGATTACCTCTTCTAATCTTCCCAGTAATCTTAGGAGAAAGCTTTAATTTTATCCCATTTCACAGATGAGAAAGTGGCCTCAGAAAGTGTTGTCAGGCCAGGGCCCAGATCCAGGGTGGGCACTTGGCACTCCTGCCTCGGGTAAGATAATTTCCAGGGCAACAGGAGAGGCCTTGCCCAAGAGTCTCTTTGGGTCATCTTGGCCACAGAACCAGAGATCACAGTTGGAATGTTGTCAAGGCCACCAGTGATGGGTAGGTTGCTAAACCCAGTGATCAATTTCAGGTTGTGCACTGCTTTGACCACCAAGCAGCATGCGGTCACTCCCTGGAAATAGATTTTGTGCTGGACTGCTGTTGAGAATTGCACGTGCTCTCCTGATGTTATCCCTGACATGCTATATATACTTTACTTATTTTTTGTCAGTCTTTCCCACCAGAATGTAGGCTTTCTGCGGCAAAGATGTTTTTCTTGCCTCTAACTTTATTTTTGTCTCCCAGTACCTAGAGCAGTGCCTAGGGCACAGGTGGATTTAACAAATGTTTGTGGAATAGGAATGATTAATGATTCGTGTCTGCACAGTTTTGGCCCTGCCCTGCCCAAGCGCTGCTCACCCACCCTAACCCTCCCCCCGGCCTTAGGCCAGCTCAGTCAAGCCCAACATACCCAGCCGATGAGGCCAGGTCGCAGTTCACAGAAATATTTGAAGTCGAAGAAACAGATACGAGGGTTGAGCTCCCGTCCCAGAAAAAAGTCGTAAATCGGATTGCCTGGAGAATATTGGAGAGTGAATGTGCAGGCAGACGCCCCGATCTGCCTCCATCTCCACCCCTAGAACCCCTCTCACCTGAGATCCCCCCAGGTGCCAGGGCCGAAACTGGGGCTACCTGCGCCTTCATGTAGAGAAAGAGGCTGAAGATGAAAGCGGTGAGGGTGGCGACAAACGCCAAGGGCAGGAGCATTTCCGGGAGCGCCCCCAGAGGCAGCCCCGCTGACACCCCCAGCCCCACCAACAGGGCTGTCAGCACCAGGGCCTGGAAGCCTAAACCACAGCACACAGTGAGCCCTGGGGCTGCACGCCTCCACATCCCCACCCTGCGAACACACACAGAGCCCAAAACTCAGGGGGGCCGCAGACCCTGCCCCAAGCATTAGGCTGCCACCCTGGCCTTCAGAGGATCACCCCAGCCACTGCTGTGGTGCACGGAGTAGCAGTAAATGGGGTAAGGGTGTGGGGACGAGGGGCTTAGGGAGAGCCCCCGGCGTCTGTCCTGGGGCTCACAAAGAGGCATACAAAGGAGCCTGGGGTGGGGGCCAATCTCCGTGGACCTCCCCGCTAGGGCTGGAGCTCCACCCCCGGCCGCTTAACTCCAGCGCGAGGGCCCGTCCCCCAGGCACCGTTAATCGGATAGCGCAGGCGACTCTTGTCCTTCAGTTCCTGCCCCTCAGCCACCTGCGGGTCCAAGGGGGCTCTGATAAGGCCCGGGGCGTCCTCTCCCTCGCCGAGCCCCTCCGACTCCCTCCCCCGAGCGTGCGCGAGCGGCGCCCGCACCTTGCGCGCCGGCAGTAGGTAGAGCGCCGCCTGCAGGCCGAGCCAGGCGAGCCACAGCAGCAGCGCCCGTGGGCTCCACAGCGCCTCCAGCCCAGGCAGGGACGCGGGTGGACCCAGCAGGCGCGCGGGGCCCGAACGGGCCGCCAGGAGCAGGTGGAACATGGTGGCGGGCAGCAGCAGCAGCAGAGCCGCGGCGCCTGCGGATGGGCCATCACATCGGGCGTCCGCCCCCAGCGCCCCAGCTCCCCCCCGGTCCCCCACGGGCGCTCTGACGTCTCTGCGGGACCCTTTCGGCATTCCCAGAGTGTGCCTCTGCACCCCTCCTCAGCCCTCAGGCACCCCGCTGCCTCCCAGTTCCCTTCCCAGGCGTCCATCTTGGTCCCCCGCTCCCCCCTCGAAGACCCTCCTCCTGCTCCCAGTCGACACCATAAATCCCCGTTCTGCAGCCCCCAGAACCGACCCCTGCTCAGCTCTCCCTCTCCAGACACCTTCGCTGCAAACCCCCGGGTCCCTCTGCCTCGGACACCCGCAAAACCTTCCATCCTCAGATCCTGTCTCCGCTCTTAGTTCACCCCCTCCAGCTCTCCTTCGCTCAGCCTTTGCCCCAGGTCCCTTCTCGCTGCCCCATTACCCAGGGGCCCTCCGAATTCCAGCGGGGCCCGGGGGCCCTCAGGAGGGGCCATGGTCTCCGCTCCGCCGGAGAGAGGGCGTTCACAATAGTCGGTCAAGGAAACACAGTCCGCCCCATTTCCCAGGAGATGGACTTGTCCGCGCGGAGGATCCGGCCCCGCGGCGCCTGCACCTGCCTGGACACCGAGTGCAGACAAGGACCGCTCTTGTCCCAGGGTTTTTAAATGGACCCGCCCCCTGCCCATCCTGGGCCCAGCACACCAGCCAATCGGCACTCAGGGGCGGACCCGACGCCGGCGCCTCAGAAGCCTCAGCTTCAAAACCCTGCCCTCGGAAAGGCCCGCCCAGCAAGCGAGAGGAGGAGGCCACACATGTTTATTAGGTAGGTCCTGACACCTGCCTGCGGGGACCACCGGGCAGAGACCAGAGCCTGGGTGCCATGGGGCACCGGGACAGGCCTGTGCATGGCAGCGGCTGCGCCTAGCCGCGCTCGCAGATGACCTCGACCACACTGGGCTCCATGGGCACAGGGTCTGGGCAGCGCAGGGCAGCCGAGGCCACCACTTCGTCTAGCAGCAAGTGCACCAGTTCTTCGTCGGCCACAAAACGCCACAGGTACAGCTGCAGAAAGTGGCAGTCCACTTGCACCTGCTGCAGCCCGAAGCGCCCAAAGGTGCGCAGCCGCACACACTCCAGCAGCGTCTTCAGGCTGATCTTGATGATGCCAGTCAGCACCGACACCTGCAGACAGGTACACAGGGATGCAGCTTGGGGACAGCAGGTGTTGGGGGGGGTCACCCAAGTTCCAAGCAGGGGCCGGAGAGACATACGATGGAAGTAGCTGGGATGAGGCAGAAAGTCTCCAGGGCCAGATAAGAGCGGAGGGATACAATATTAGCGCAGTCATGTGGAGGGTAGGGGACAGGTAGGGCCCAGCAATCAGAGGCATCCCTGAGCTTGGGGTGAGGTGGGGCAGGAACCATGGGTGAACAGAAAACCCTGGGAAGGCCCCAAGACTACTGTGGGGATAAGGACAAGGGCAGAGTCATCCCAGGTCAGCACCCAGAGACTCAGGCTGGGCACACACCAAGGTTGGGACTATGGCTGTGGGATTTGGGGGCAGGGCACTCTGTACTACCTAAAAACAGGCCTAGAGACAGAGACTGGAGGGTCAGGGTCACCCCCAGTTGGTCACAGAGTCCTAGAGCTCCTTGGGCAGGTATGGGGCTGCTCCAGCCAACCCTCCCCGGGCTCCCTGGAAGTCTGAGTCACGCTGGAAGTCGGACCTTGTTGAACTCCACAGGGCTGAACACATCAATACGTTCAGAGAATAGCTTCTGGATATTGCTCAAGAGGTTGGTATCCATCGGGGCACTGGATTGGGGCAGACAAGGAATCAGAGCCCGCTCTGCACCTTCGCCCTCTTTTGTCCCTTTCCCCTGGGGCTCCCCTGACCAGCCAGACCTGGGGGTATAGCTGGGGGCGTAGCGGCCCTGCTGCCGAGAGCTGCTGTACACGGAGAAGGTCCTCTTGCTGGAGTCGCTGCTCTGGGCCTTGCGAACACCCTCTTCGTACAGAAGCCCCACCTGGTGGTAAAAAGGGGTACTGCAAGGAGGCCAGAACCAGGGGAAACCGCCCATCGGTGCTGAGGATGCCCTAAGTCAGCTACTCAAGCATTACAAGAATAACAGGGTAGTCACCACCAGGCCTGCTATTTAGTAGGTACGTGGTCGCTATTTATAGAACCAGTGGAGTGGGGCAAAGGCAGGACACAAGAGTTGGTCTGAGGCCTAATCTTCAGCCTCAGCATGGGCACCAGCACCAACCCTGCCCTGACTTCCTGGGTAACCCTGAGCCTCTGCTTCTCCACAGGTAAAATAGGGGCGAAGATGTCATAATCCTGGGCTGAGGAGGAACAAGACCGTGGACATAGGCACTGCCCAGCCCCTTTCGTCTTCATCCTTGGAGACTTGTTCCCCTGGGGTTCCCTCACGGACGCCCTGGCTACAGAACTGGCCCCTTAAGAAGCCCAGATACACATGTCCCCTCCTCCAGGCAGAGACTGCTAGTGATCCTCTGCTTCCCCAGCCCCTCTTGAAGGGACAGCACCCCCAGCCTGCGTCAGGGCTCCCCCAGCCAGCCTGGGCAGCACCTGCACGTCGATGGCGGTGGTATCCTCCACCACCCGCTTCATGACGGCCCGCACATTACGGGGCTCCAGAGTGCTGAGCCAGTCCCGAGTCTCCACGCTCTTGCGCAGCATCTGTGATATGACCAGGCCCTGCACCTTCACGTAGTGGGTCAGCAGCCGCCGTGCAGTTTCCCTGGCCTCTGCACACAGTGTGCTCACGGGCGTCACTGGGAACTGATCCTGAGCCAAAGAGGCAGAGGACAGAGGGAGTGGGTATGGGGGTGCAGCTCAGGGGCCACTGCCAACCAGGAGCTGGGCACAGATTGGGCAAAGTGGAGGCTGGGGTACACACAGGCAGCTGGTCCGGGGTCTGGCCATGAGGGCACTGTCCAGCCACCTGCATTCCCCGAACCACCATTCCCTGCCCGACTAGGAGCTAGTGCTTCACCTGCACCAGAAACTGTTCATCAGTGAGAGTGAGGATGTAGGAGATGGTAGCCGTCTCGTAGTCCAGGCAGAGGCGGGAGAGCAGCAGGAGCAGGGCAGGTGGTGTGGCACCCCCTTTCTCCCCAGGGCTGTCGCAGAAGCTCTGAGCCGTGTGGCACATAGAGCGGATGAAGCCCACGATGAGGCCCTCACGGACACCCTGACTGCAGAACTCACCCTGCAAGGAGAAGGTGCCCAGGTCCACAGCAGGTCCCCTCTTCCAGGTACGGCTGTTAATGACCCTCTGCTGCGGCTCTAAGTGCTCCAGCTCCCTCTGCAAGGGACAGCATCATCCTGCTTTCTAAGTACCCTGTAGCAGCTTCCCTGAGTGGGGGTAGAGAAAGCCAACACTGGGGACCCCACCATGGCCTGCTTCTCAGGGCACTCAGCCCAGCTGCAGATGCCCCGAACCTTTCCCACCCCCCAGACTGTGCATAAGAACCTGAAACCACACCCAGAGTGCCTGGTTTCCCCAGTTTCCCAAGCACTGGTATAAAAGGTTTTGGAGGGTCAACCAGCAGGTTGAACAAGGAACACCCAAGAGGAGGCATACCCGGAAGTAGGGCTTGTTGGAGAAGGACACCTCTTTGGCGGTGAAAAGGTGCACTGCTGCCAGAGAGGCCTTAATGTGGCTCAGGATGGAGCTGGCCACATTGGCCAGCAACTCGGCCAGGCCAGGGCCCTCCTTCCCAGCCACTCGAGGCGCTGCCAGCGCCTGGCGGACGTCAGTCAGGCAGCCCAGGAAGGCCGCCC